AGCCCCGCCGGCGCCCCTCACTCCCGACCTGCAGCCCCTGCCAGCCCAGCCCTGCCCCCCCCCCGGCCCTGCCCCAACAGGGCCCCATTGTGGGGGCTGGGCCCAGGGTCAGGCCCCACCGCGGACAGCGGAAGTGTGGGGGTGGGGTGGCTCTTGGCCTCCACACAAACGAGTTCTTGTCTCAGTGGCACAGGCCGGATGCCAGCGTGTGTGTGTGGGGGGGCTGGAAACGGGGCACCCAGGATGTGGGGATCCAGCTCCATGGACTCCTGGCTCCCAGCCCCCCCCGCTCTGACCACCAGCCCCCACTCCCCTCCCAGAGCCGGGAAGAGAAGCCAGGAGTCCTGGCTCCCAGACCCCCACTCTAACCCCCCAGACTCCCCTTCCTGCCCAGAGCCGGCAGAGAACCCAGGAGTCCGGGCTCCCACTAACCGGCTCTGACAGGTGACTCTGCCCTGGGCAGTCCGGGCGCCGGGGGGGGCTGGTGTCATGCTGGGCCCTGGCCCCTGGGCTCCAGGGGGGCCGTCTCCACACAGCAACCCCCCCACCGGGCTGACGGGGCCAAGCCCTGCCCATCGCCGCAGCCAGGCCCCTTCCCCCGCCTGGACTCCTGGGTTCTCTCCCGGCCCTGGGAGGGGAGGGGGGTCGGGTGGCCACGGCCCTGTGTACTCCCCTTCCCCCACACACATACCCAGAGCCAGGTGCTCCCCCCCCCCCCGCTAATTTGCCTGCAACTCATGTGGAAATTCCCCTCCCCCAAGCACCTGCCATGACCCCACCCTTCCCGGGGGGGGGGATGGGCTGGGGGGGATCCCCCTTCACTTTCAGACACCCCCTCGCAGACAGGCCCAGTGACTCTCTGGGGGGTCAGGGGGGCTGGCCAGGGGCTGTGGGTCGGGAGTGAGGGGCACCGGCAGGGCTGGGGGGGGCAGGGGGCTGCGGGTCGGGAGTGAGGGGCACCGGCAGGGGGGGCTGGCAGGGGGGCGCAGGGCGGGGGGGGGGGGGGCCGGCCCGGGGCCC